CAGCAGGACAGACATAAGAATAAAGGGGTAAAAATTTATTTGAACTCAGATTTTTCTTTAAATTGCACTTTTAGCTGCCCCTCCCTGCAGACAGTCCATAAGGTGTGTGTCATCTTAATATTTGCAAATTGGTGCTCAGTTAAAATGATTGTTGTTATTGTTGTTAGCAGTGATGAAGAAGTGGGTGACGCCCTCAATCCTTTGAAGTGCACACACGTGTATCTACATTACGCATCTGCAATTTCTGTAATTCTTGGAGCATTACAACAACAATCATTAAAATAATCCTAAAGGTAATCACACACTCATATAGTTCACCTAAGGACTAACATTTGGATGCCACTTGATCAATTAATATGCTTCACTCAGCAAGATTTGAAACCTGTACAGTACTGTATAGCGTTTGTCGGGACAAACTCTTTTTTACCTGCAAGCTTAAACTGCTCAATGTCGCTCAAGGCTGCCTTTTCTTGGCAGATATTAACTCTCTGGCTCACTTCATAGACAGAGCAATTATAATACATCTTAAAGCCTGTTGGACTATCACAAAGAAAGAGCAGTTAGTGGTGAGACAAAAAGATAAATTATCAGCAGAGATCTGAATCAGAAAAGTAAAAATAGCCTAATTATAGAGCCTATGAACGATAAGCTTTTCCAGTGACTGTTAACAGGTTTTCCAAAGTACTGCTTTCTATTTAATGGTTAGAGACATGACACAGGTGCCTGTTGAGTTCAAAAACAAAGTTTAATGAGCCGTTTGAAGCTTAGATATTACTGTTATTATTATTGCTCAGGCAAATATTTACGCAATCTCCAAGTGAAAAACAACTAAGGTAAACCCAAAGTCTCAAAACTGAATAAATAAATAAAAACACGATACTCATATGAATACATTCAGTCAAAATACACTGTGAAATAATCCAATGCATTTTGAAATGTTACAAATGTTATATCATCATGCCTTCCTTTGCAAAATAAAATGTAATTGATGGTCATTTTTATTTTGTTCCAGCAGTTTTTAACATCTGTACTGTATTTTAACAGTGTTTTTACACTGGCCAACCTCTGTAAAAATTAAAAACTGTTGGAATAAAATAATAAAAATAAAGCCTAAGGGGGATATTTACTAAATCTGTTACTGCCAGGACTGGAAAACACTGCTGTACCGCTATTTTTTTTTTTAGTTTAGCTGTGTTTTTACTAACACAGATGATGTAAATGAGCACAGCCACAGCTGTGTTAACATGATTACACCTCCACAGCACTGATCAACGTTGTTGTCTGTGTTAACATGCTAACAAATAATTGTTTAGATGTTTAAGCCACTGCAACTCACAGTGCCACTATGTTTTGTCTCTATATGATTTATTTCATTTTCTGTTCCTTTTATTTTGAACAGTTGTTAAAAGACTCAACATAAATTCTAGTGTACAGCAGCATACACCAGAGCTGACTACTAAAACTATACAGTAGAGCAGTGAAACAATATACACTTTAAAAAATATATATACAGTATACAGCAAGTGGCACTATAAACACAGGGTACAGGGAACTGAGGATCCACCAGATGTTTTCACCCTTGAATCTAGACTCAGCAAGCTAAGTCTCCTCTGTGCCTTTCAGACCAGATAAGAAAAGAGTGCCTGCCTGTCCTGTGATTGATGGGTTATAGGAGCTGTGTGTATAACAGCCAGGGACAAACCCAAAAAAGAAGCAAAACTATCCCAACCACATTTTCAACTGTGGCAGTGAAACTGGCTCTATTCCAAACAGAGACAGCATTTACAGAAAGATGAGCGAAGGATAAAAGCCAAAGCAAATGTAGCCGTGGTCAGTGGGCGTTTTCCTGAAGCTTAAACACAAGAGCAATCAAGTCTAATTGACTGATGTGATGTATGAAGGTTGACAGAGTCGCATTATGGAAAAATAAACAGGCAGATCATGCAAAAGACAAGGCGCTTCATTTATTTCTTCTGTTTTTTAATCTGTTGTTTTATTCTCTAGCAGGAAAAAGTTTCAACAGCCACGTTGTTTTGTTTCTTCTTCTCGGCTCTTGCACAGATAAGCCTCCATGCAGGAGCTGCCAACTGTTGCTTCAGTGGCGGCAGTGGAAGTGTGTTTTATTGGGGTTGGTCAGTGCATGTGTCCTAAGTCACCCTTTCATCTCGAGTGTTCAAGTGCGTGGTGAAATCATGTCATTTTTGCTTCATAGGTTTCCATCTCCCACTCTTCCTCCTCCCACTCTGCTGCAGCCTCATACTGGGTGAACAAACTGGTACACCAGTCTCTGCGACACATCGGGCTTGCGAATGATCCCCTTTTTGTAGTACTGACGTATGGAGCGGCTCAGCTTGTCATAGTTCATAGCAGGTCGATTCTTTCTGAGTCCCCACAGCCTCGCAACATGAGCTGAGTCTTCAATTTTAAAAATACCTGGTGGGAATCAGAAGAGAGCTGACATTTGTTAAAGCATTTTGGAAGATGTCTTGCTGATGAAATACTTAAAATAATAGTTAAAAAAAAAAACAAGTGGTGGAGTCTTTGGGCTTTTGAAACAATTTAAACTAAATTAAAGGGTTTAAAACATTCATTCTTTGCTGGGGACAGTAGGTACAGTGTTGAGCTGTAGGTCACCCTCATTTTGGCTGTATTCACAGCCCAGTACTCAGCTGCTGTAGGTACACGTGTAAAATGCAGACAAATAAATTTGAAGTGTAAAAATAAACTTGGGGTTTCTTTTACGAACAGATAGTGTGAATAAAATGCATAAATGTGAGTAAAACATTTGAGATGTCAGTTGGCATGTAGCAGATGAAGCGTCAGTTAAAGCTAAAACGACTAAACCATATTAAACTTCAGATAAAATGTTTGCTCAGAGTAGCAAATAAATGATAAAATAAAAGATGCTCATTTGAGCTATTTTACTGTTTTCCCATTGGCTGCATCATGTATCCTTTGAAATAAATTGTTACAATTTCCATTCCTGGTTTACAATGAACATAATATTAAAAAACATGTGCACCTTTCTCTTTATTGAGCCAGCGGATGCAGCGTCCATAGCTGTGAGGTTTGAGCAGGAGCTCTCTGAGGAACTGCCACAGATGAATGGGTTGACCTGAACAAGACGAATCTGCCTCAGACCATAGCTCCTCGCCTCCTGCACAACACAACACAACAACAACAGCACTTGATTCCTAAGATCTTTGTGCAGTAATTTATTGAGAAAAGACCTTTGAGCAGTGCAAGATTTCCATGCCCTTAGTATAATCAGGACACAGAAAACACACAATGCTAAAGCATGATTTACATCAAATTCCACATTATAATATTGTTTTAAAGTTAGTAAAATGTAAAATGCCCTGTTTCTTATTGTATGACTTCTGGTTTTTTAAAAAATGAAAAGCAGCAGTTTGCATTACATTTTGCCTAATGCTGACAAAAGGGTGAATAACAAAAAGAAACCTACCCACGGTCCTGGTATCTGCAGCTGAACACCTCTCTTTCATCCAGGCAGCTGGAGAGAAAACAGGACAGACATTTAATTGAAACTTATGCTTAAATTAATTCATACTTAATAGCTCTATTAATAATTAATAGCTCTTACTCCACCCAAACATACTGTACATAAACACACTAAGATACAATGCAGACACTCAAAAGTTTGAAACAGCTAAACACTGGTCAAATCAGTCAGTGTAGGAGGTGCAACAGTGTATGATGAACTTGTCACATAAATATTTTCCTTACCAGACTTCCATATGTCCAGGTGTGCATGCAGTGTGTCTCCACACTGAGGCGAGCGCTGGCGAAACTCCTCCTCACTCATGGCACAAAGGTCTTTTCCTGTCAGCTCCTGGAAGGACTTTCCTGCATGGGGCAATCTGTACAGATGTTCTGTCCACAGCAGCCACTTCTGCACATGTCCTACGTTCCACTCTATGGGGTCTAAGACAAAGGAAACAGAAAGCAATGTAAAAATGGTGAAAAAACTCCCAGCTACTGCAACAGTAAGTTACCTGATATGGGATCATTCCTCCTGTGAGATTAAAGTGGAGTTAAATTCCCAGGTTATTCAGCTGTGAACTGTCTGTATTATCTTCTGCTACCTTTATACCTAATAAATGTTCTATAACCACAAGGTAATCATGCTTTTATCCCACAACTATTCTAATCAGCAAAATAGATGACTGGAAATTATAGAGATTTATGACAGCCAGAAGCCCTGCAATTCATAATGCTTCCTCTATTTGCTTTGCAAGCAGGAGAGACCTCGCCCTAAAGACTGTGTACACATATCCTGGCAAGAAAAGAACCATCACTGTCATATTCCAAAAGAACACACTCAAAAGGTCAGGATTAAACAGATCCTGGAATAGGCAAACACAACTTTGAGTCAGTAAGAACATGATTTAAGAGATCTGTCATCATGCCTGTGCTATCCACACAAATATGTGTTGATTTTGGGAGTAAGATCAAGCAGTTTAAGTATCTCTGAATCAATATTCCTTTACCTGTAAATAACGAGCAACACTTTTTAAGACATGAAAAATGTACTTGTCTCATTTGCATATCTTAATATTGTAACAGCCTCGTGAGAATGACAGTCTGTTAGAGCAGGTATGGCTGAAGGTAGCCTACCTGGGGTAATATTCAGCAGTTTGCAGGCTGTTTCAATGTCCTTCAGCACCTCTCCCACCACCATGCTCTGCACCTGCTCCAGAGACCGCTCCTCCTCCTGCCCCTCCAGCCCAGGAGAGAGTCCCTGCTCCTGGCTATCGATAACTGGGCACTGCTCTGGCTCCTCCTGGGGCTCCATGCGGGTCATAGGTACAGCCAGCGTTGAGGAGGCCTCTGAAACTTTCACCAGCCACGCAGAGTCTTCGGTGAGGAGCATGTCGAAGCAGGACAGGTATAGGCCTGGCAAACCTCGCTCCAAGGCTTCCACATTTGGTTTGGTTTCCCCCATGTCCCAAGGTTCTCCAGAGTTCCTGTTTCGCTCCAGGATGGCGAGGGAGTCCTCTGTCATCCCAGCCCGGGTCGTGTATACTGTGCCTTCTGACAAACTGTTCACTGGGTTTGACATAACTAGTGCCTAAAAAAAAAACAGCAGACAAGAGAATCCACATAAGCAATGACCCATGAAAACATTTTAGTTTCCCTTCAGCACTGTAAAATGTTTATTAAAAATAAATTCTTTTGAATGGCACTAAATCAGAAAGATACAGGACATCTGCCTGAAGCCGTCCAATAATGATAATCCTGCTGGACCAAACTTAGCAACATTCAAGCAACTCAACTTCAACATCAATAGTCAAAATTACACTGCCTTTACTAACAGTTCCTGTCTTGCAGTTCCCTGGCTGCTAAATCAGCATTTGTTTTGGTTTTGTGAGAAACTCCATTAGAGCATCTGCAGGCAAGAATCCATAACGCACTATGAGTGGAACTGAGGTGAGACGTGCTGGGCGTCACTCTATAAGGACACTGAGCCTATTGGAGATACTGCGGAATAGACCCTCAAGAGACTTAAAACACACACAGCGCTGATGGGCATGGGGCAAAATGGATTTGGCTGAGCTTCTTATTTGTGGGTCAAAGGCCCAGAATGGCAGATGTCTTGGGGGTAGGTGACTTGTATTGAGACCTGAACCAGCTCTGCTGCCTGCCTTGGCTTTCAATGTGCCGTCTCTGCAGTCCTCTGTCTCCACTGTCAGCTGGAGATTTTAATCAAATAGAAGTTATAGTGTTGAGAAGAGTGTGCACAAAATCTGCACAAAACCACACGTGAAACAAAAGTCTGTTTAATGAAGACCAGACTCATAGGTGCAACAGCTTTATCTTAACAGGAAATTGCTATCGTGAGTGTTAATTTATTGACACCAGCTGTAGCACAAGTGCTGTAATCTTGGAGTGAATTAACATATGGCACACATAATGTGTGCTTGCCACAGCTGGAATATGGGAAAGCAAACTGACACACGCACAAGGTTATCAATGTTTGTGACTGATGCCAAAGTAAAGGAAGTGTGCTCCCACAGAGCACATGTTCAAAGAGTCACAGCTTTATTTGTCAAGACACAAGGAACTGAGAGTCTCATAAAATTTGCCAGATTACAGACTCCACCCAAAATAATCCATGAAGGTTATATTTGCAGATAATCTGGTTGATATTAAACCTTTCCTATGACAGAAAATGCCAGCACCCTGACCACCAAGTGAGAAAATTCAGCAAAGAAGTGAAAATTTAGGTTGTGCTGATTATGTTGATTTCCTGTGACATTTACTTTTTTGGTCATATGTTCTCATCTCTTGCATTTTTTTTCCATCTGAAGAGTGTGTAGTCATTTTTAATGCTAATTTTGACAACACACACCTGACACTGCATCATGCCTAGGTTCCAGAGCACAAACCCTTTCACAATTGTTGATCTTAAAACTTTCACATTTCACATTCACCCCCTGATTTGTCACATTAATGGGAAGGCTGTTAACAACTATTAACCAAAGACTTCTTTTTCTCTTACCAAATGTCCCCAAAGATAAATAAAGTTATCATCCCTGCCCCCCCCAAATTCTCGTAAACTATAACCCACTCTCCCTTTCTCTCCACCAGGAGTCAGATTAATATCCCAGGCTGGCTACTGTGTGTCAAAACCGCTCTGTAACAGCTTGCACTAAACCCATTAGCAAAGCAAATTTAGCCATATTACCTTCTTCCAAAAGGAAGCGGGGACAGAGGAAAAAGACACAAACACACCCCCCCAGGAAGAGGGATTAAGACCCTGACTGATCTCTAAATGAGTTTGGTCAAGACTCTGATACTCATTTCAGGAGCATTAGAGTTTGCTCCATTTACTCTGTAAAGTCAGCCTAGACACCGAGGGAGAAAGACTCCCTCCATGCACCCTGGGAACCATATTGCTTCTACATGCTTGGTCTCATTCAATATGAAAAAGGTGATTATCAGACATGAATTTCCCTTTATTCCCATGGATTTTATACAGTTGCAGCTTAATATGTTTTTTCTTGTTTTTGGCTTTCTGCAAAAATCTAACGCAAATTAGCCACAAATGATTCGTGTATTATTTACTCACAGGTAAAAATGTTGAGTTATTTTTGAGTTAAAGGGGGTTTAATGCTTGAGATATCACAACAAACCTCACTTCCACACCCTCGGTTTAACTAAAAGTCATGTAAGTTACAGTACAAGGCAATACAACCAACCTAGCTTAATATAAACTTGTTTCCTTATTCATCATTGTTGCTAAAACACCTCTGCAGTCAGCTAAGTAGAATTTAATGAGTCCTGATAAAAATAAAAGTCTAAAGTCTTTCAAATGTGTTTAATCTGAATAACTGGATCTAATTTGAAAAAAGAAAGAGTCATACAAAGTTTGAGAACATCTATCAAAAAGTGACCAAAATGTTTGCGTGCTCTGCTCATCACAAAATAGGCCTGTGTTGTTTGAGACTGAAGTTAGAGGAATGTGTACAGCAGGCGAGACTGTTTGCCATGTGAGCACTGAAGGGAATTTTTTTATTCTTGTTACTGTTTCTCGTGAAAAACTTGACCAAACTAAGGAAGTCACCGTATCTTTGTGCTGAGGAGAAAGTCTGAAGGCTGAATTGATCTGGGTTTTCTCTTATAGCAGCAGGGATATGTACACATTATAAACTAGAAGGGTGTGTAACAGTAGTCTTTTAGTTTTTTTCTCATTTTATGAATTGCAAACAAAGGCTGATTTCTGTGCATGTCTTCATTGTGCCTTGTTTTTATTGCTATAGACAATATTTGTAGTCTAAAGACCCGTCACAAATCCTCATTTCCAATCTGTTAAATTCCACTTTTAATTATATGTTTTTTTAAGTCTTTGTTTTCTCCCCCTGGGCGGGCTGCATTAACTGCCAACGGGAGGTGTTGGTGCACTGGGTGATTCATTTCTGCTGCTAGTCAGGTCCACTGGCATTAGGCCAGTATCCTAGAAACCATTAAACCACTGAAAATGCTTTTGCTGTTGGTGCAAATTAATTTTGATAGCGGGCTAATTTTGCAGTCATGTAGATAATAAACTTCATACATCTGAGGCTGGGCCTGAAGACTGAAGGCATAACAATATATGGATAAAGAAAAAGAATGTATAATTAATTTTTTGCAGAGAAATTGTAAATATAATGAAGCTTTTGAGACTATGGAAAGGAACAGCTCTATTTAAAATGGAGAACATCAAAAAAGTGGTTTTTAAATACTTTTAATCGTTTAGCCTAATATGATAAATCACCCCACAAGGGGCTTACAGTATGTAAACCACCAACACCAACCAGCTGCTTTGGTGCAGTACAAAATTTAGCATCCCATTCATTTAAAAGAAATGCTGCCTCTGAGCATAATCCAGCCAATAATTATTATGATAAAGTACATGATCTGCAGGAGACTGACTCTGATCACAGTGCAAGCAGGTCCATCCTCGACTGCAGCTGCTCAGCAGCAAATATCACTGTAGCTAGCTAGCTAGCTAGCTAGCTAGATAGATAGATAGATAGATAGATAGATAGATAGATAGATAGATAGATAGATAGATAGATAGATAGATAGCAACCCACTCCACAGCTAAATGTATAATAGCTACTGTGCTCCACAACTCAAAATGTACTAGTCTCACAATAAGGCCCAGAAAATTGTTACAGCGTTTACCTGGATCAAAAACTGTGACATGGTAATGTCTTTCTGGCAGTGAAAATGAAAGACAAAGGCTGAAATTCCTTATACATGGTTAAATTTAGGGAAATACCACAGGTCCGGTTAAAACACTCACATGAAAAGTACAACATTGCACATGTGCCATGAGCTCTGGCTGTTTGCATGAAGGTCAGTTATTTGTTGGACCCGTCCATCTGTCCCAGCCACAACCTGTCTAGCGTTTATAGTTCAAAACTGTATGCCTTCAACTGACACTAAATGCTAGCTTCTCAACCCACACTCCTTTTTGATTTATTTTTTTGCCATACACCATAAAACACCAAGAAGAAAAACAACGGCTTACAATACAAAAAATCATTTCACAATTTTACAACCGTTATTGTCACATTTTATGCTGTGGACCAACAACACATTCTCATCTTTTGGAAATGCTTTGTTTGGTCTATGTGAGAGATGTGCACCTACAACACGCAGGACGTGAGACATGATGTGGTCATGTAGCCAGTTTGTAATTTAGTCATAAACAACCAAGTCTCTTGCCAAACCCTAAAGTTGTCTGTCCAGCTCTTAACAACAGGCGTTTTTTTTTTTTACTTCGGATGTTTGTATTCTTCCAGTTTCAGATGATAGAACATCATCAACACACCCACTAGCTCCGTGTGAATACTCCGACCCATACACAGTTGTTTTTTCACATAGGCTCACTCCAGCTCACTCGGATATAATGCAGACTTTGTACTAGAGAGCTGGCAGGGTAAAGTCCTCTTAAAGTCCGGGTTGACTGACTCGGACATTTGTGTTCTCACATACAGCTCACCCTGGCAAAGTCTAGATCATTTCAGGGCTCCAGTGCATGTCTGAAAAGTGCTAGAGCTAGTGAACCCAGCTCTCTACACTGTATTAATAAGATATAACAAGCTGCTACAGAGGCTGACTGAAGCAGACTGTGATTAAGACTGTAGCCATGGAATTGTACTGTTGCTGTGATTCTGGCTACTGTACACTTTTTCTATTTTAATTGGGAGGGTCTGGCAGCATTTTATAGCTCAAGTGGGGGCTCCAAAGAAAATATTAATAACTCTAGGGAGGGTCTCGCATTTTTAAAAAGTAAAACAAAGTTTAGTCTCTCTCCAAAGCCAAATAATTTTCATACAGCCCCTAAAATAGTCAGAGCAGCTATTAGGATTCTTCATACAGAGTCTCAATCAATCAAGAACAATGTAGATTAGCCTGACGTGAAAGTTCTGAACGGGATGTTCACGAGATTAACACGCTGGTTGTTAAATACTCTTATTACAGCTTTGGTGAGTAGCCACTGTATTTAATCTTCATTTATAGTCAAGCCCATAATTATCTCACATCTAATCCTAAACACCAGTGGCGAACCTATTTTGATTATGTCAGCTTATCATTGTGGTTTTTGGTTTCAAACTGCCAACAACCCCCACACACCTTTTATCTGACCACTTTTTTTTTTTTTTTTTTTAATCTTTCTTAGTGAAAGCTAATATGCAATTGCACATACACAGGAACAAGAAAAACAGGTGAGCATGACAAAGAATAAAAATGACTAGGCAAATTAAAAAGATAACAGCTTTTCATCCAACCCCTCCACCTCTTCACTCTCAAGCCTTTTAATCTTTTTCAAGATTTTACTGTTTATCTGTTCACAGTACTACTTTATTTAACCTAATATACCTTTGTTTTCAGTCCATAGGTGTCAACTTACTGAAGTTAAACCCTGATGCCTTATTTACTGATGTGACCAACCAGCCTAACATCACATCCTAATTCTTGCATAACTCCTCACTTTGAATTTTGAAAAGTCATGATGCAAGAAAATATATAAAACTAGAGAAATAAATGACAAGCATTCTGCAGATATTGTTAATGCTATATCGGAAAAGTTGCATAGACTATTCCTTTTTACTCTGACCAATGAAATGATGATCATCATTAACAAACAAGTACAAGTTGGATTGTGTTATTTAAATATTCACATTAACCTGTGTAATTGGATTCTGTCAATTTCTAGCAATCCAAAACCAGTGTCATACAAAGGTTCCCCTTTAAATAATAACAACATTGTGAATAAAACCTGTATTTCTCTTACAGAAAGACATAAATCTCATGTTCAAGACATTGTGTGAGGCAGTGTCTTCTTACCGAGGCAAAGATGCTCTGATGGCCAGAGGCAAAGGCTTGACTGAATGTGGAAGCAGATGCAGTGCAGCTCTGGTTCTGCTGAGGATGATGGATGGATTTTTGTCAGTCAGTTCAAACAAGATACCTGCCACCCGAGGACAGATTTGCAGCAGGCAGCGGGCACTGATGACTGTCGCAGAGCCCCCAGCCTAAGGCCTCAGACACTCTGAGGCTTTTTGGTAGAATTACACTTAACCTGAAAGTCACAGCCTAAAGCACAACTGCAAACTAGACTTCAAGTGAAAGCACCTGCTGGGGGTGTGTACAAATGAAAAGGAGCCAGGGCAAGTGACTGACTGAGTGAGTGCAAAGGAATTTCAGCACCATTGACTGCAATTTATATTTATAGGGCAGTTGTGTTTACTTATGCACACAAGCCAGTGTGTGTGCGTCTGTGCCCTGCGTCTAGCAAATTAGCTCAGGCCTCCTCAAACAGTACTACTTCACCTCATTGCTTAGGTGACAGACAACTCAAAGTGATAACAGAAAACTATTTACTTGAGTATTTTAATTTTAAGCTACTTTATTGTTCTGCTTCACAACTTTTCTCCACAGTAGTTATTTGTCAGCTTTAGTTAGTATTTAAAATTAACCAGTATTTCACAAAAATACTACATGTGAGTATAAATTTGTGCAGCACAACTTGTTTCTATCACACAATTAATTATAGATAATGTAGTTAAAATTAGCTCCACCTCCAAATGAACTGCTGTTGCATTGATGCATCAGTATTAAGAAGTTAGTATTAGAATGTGTGAAGTACTGTATAAGTAAATACTTTTACTTTTTAGACTTTGGGTTCAGGCGGCACAGTGGCACAATGGTTAGCACTGTCGCCTCCCAGCAGGAAGGTTCCATGTTTGAGCCTAGGCCGACCTGATGCCTTTCGGTGCGTCAGTTTGCATGTTCTCTCTGTGCCTGCATGGGTTTCCTTCAGGATCCTCCCAAAGACATGCAATTTCGGTCAACTGGGAGTGACTGTGTGTGGTTGTTTGTCTACATGTCAGCCCTGTGATAGACTGACAACCTGTCCAGGGTGCACCTCGCCTCTCACCCAGTGTCAGCTGGGATTGGCTCCAGCCCCCCAAATTAAAGGTAGAGAGAACTCATAAGCCAAATATACACACCGTATCACAAACAGTATGCATATATAGTCCCACAGGCCTTTTACTTCAGTCTTCCTTGTTATGATTCTTCTTAGTAAATATAATGTGGTGAGCAGAGCCTCAACCACATTTTATTTACTTACTTTTCACTAAGATAATTCACTCACTTTCATTATCAGTATTGCCCTGAGTCCTGAGCAGAGGTCTAATAAACAAGAATAGTTTAAAACACCTGTGTGTGTGCCAGGCTTTTAAAGTGTAGCTGATGGATGTGGAGATAATCTCAACTGCTTTATGTACTGCTGGGTATTCCAGTAACACTACATCATCAGGTGTCATAAACTTATGATTTGTACATAAAATCTTATTCTGTAAAGTACTGTAGCTGAATAAAAAGCACAAAATCCCTTAAGTGTGATGAAGTTAAGTGTAAACTAGCATAAAGTGGAGTTATTCAAGTAGAAACCTCAAAATTGCATTTAAGGAAATGTGTGTAGCTACTTTCCACCAGTGGAAAAAGTTTATTTTAGTATCAAGTCAGGCTAACAGAATCAGAGAAGCAGTAGAGTCAGGCTCTAGACTGAGCCCAGCTTCATATGTTTGGTAGAACCTCGGGTCAGAACCAAACAGTGTGAAGCTGCTTTTAGCTACTATTCTGCACAGAGATGGAACCAAAGTCCCGATGACCTTAAATGTGCCCTAATTCAGCCACTTTCACGTCTAAACTGAAATCTCAGAAAATGTTCCCATGCCTTTGTTTGACTGGTTTCTATGCTTCACTTTCAGCACTGTAACTTTTTATTCTCAGTTTGTGTTTTATCTCATTTTAACAATGTTTTTACTTATTTTATTTTGCTTTTAATGCTGTTACAGTTTTTCTTTGACACTGTAAAGCACTTTGAATTGCCTTTGTATATGAAATTTGCTATATAAATAAAGCTGCCTTGACTTTTTCTATGTATATTTTCTATATATACTTTTTTGTTTGGAGCAATATTGCCATATTTCTCTTCAAATGAATATGAATTGTGCATAGTATATAATGAGTGGATCTTATATTATGGCTTTAGAAATGTAAATATTTGTGTCATGTGACCTGCAACTGACCTATCAAGAGCCATGCCACCAGCACACCAGTCAAGACCAACACACCTTTTGCTGATCACGTAATAAGCAAACCTGAAGAAGTCGCAAGATGAACTTTTTTCACAGCAGCCATTTTGGCAAGTCGTAACAGGAAAAGCACAGGTGAAACATAAACTGGGCCAACTGATGCAACTGAGCATCAACAAAATTTGTTTTGTTAACAAAATTTGTTTCACCTGTGCTTTTCCTGATCAAATCAAAATGAGTTCTATGTTTTTGAAAAGGAAATTATAAAGATAGTGAATAAATGTGTTAACAAAACATCCAGTGATAGTGATGGTATCACTATGACAACTGTTAAATGGGTAATTGAGGGGATATGCAAACCATTAACCCATATTTTTAACATGTCGTTTCGACTTGGGCAGTTCCCCAATAATATGAAAATAGCAAAGGTTATTCCACTGTATAAATCTGGTGATAAGCACAACTTCACAAATTATAGACCGGTTTCTCTGTCACAATTTTCAAAAATTCTGGAAAAACTCTTTAATAACAGATTAGATACATTTATTGACAAACATAAAATCCTCTCT